CCAAGTTTGGGGCCTTGGAGACAGACCGACCAGGAGGCAGGAAAGAAAGGTGGGAGTCATCTTTTATATTAGAAAATTGATTAACGTTGTCTAAATTTGATACATTAAGAAATAGATAGCCGAAACCGGTTTGGCTCAGTGGTAGAGCATCGGTCTGCAGACTGAAAGGTCCCAGGTTTGATTCCGGTCAAGGGCATGTACCTTGGTTGCGGGCACATCACTGGTGGGGGGGTGTGCAAGAGGCAGCTGGTTGATGATTCTCTCTCATCGATATTTCTAGCTCTTCATCTCTGTAATAAAATATACTTAAAAAAAAAACATCTCCATACATTTTGGGAGATAAAGAACTGTTGCAGACATCTATGTTGTCTGGTAACAGAAAAAAATTGGAAGGATACGGCACTTATTTCAGTGGAGTTGCATTTCATACAGAGATGTATACACAAGAAAGAAAAAAAAACCTCATTGAGTCAAAATTATGCTTGGAAATCTAAGTCACCTTTAAAATACAGTATACAACATTTACAGACCATGTTGGAAGCAGACTCTCAATACGCCCAACACAGCCAATTTTTCCTGAGTGTTCAAACAGATGGCTCATTCTTTGGGTGAGCACCAGATGAAGTAGTTGGCTTGCATTTGAGGCCATCTTGTATATATATATATATATATATATATATATATATATATTTTTTTTTTTTTAAAGTACTTATCTTTAAACACTAGAATCACACTCCGCACAGTGAGAAGCTCACACTACACGATCTAGAATCAGTTGAAGGATTAACATCTTTCTTTTAACACCTAGTCAGGGGAATGCTCAAGAGAAATGGTAGATGGTTTTAAGTTCTCTCCCCCCCCACCCCACCCCTATCCCCACCCCCGCCCCAGGAACACAGTGTTTGAAGTCATAAAAGAATGTGCCTCTGATGGGACTTCCCTATGTTGATGAAGATACTGATATAATGAAAGGCCTTAAAATAGTCCTGCCGAAACCGGTTTGGGTCAGTGGATAGAGCATCAGCCTGCGGACTGAAAGGTCTCAGGTTCGATTCTGGTCCAGGGCATGTACGTTGGTTACGTACGGGCACATCCCCGGGGGGGGGGGGGGGGGGGGGTGCAAGAGACAGCTGATCAATGTTTCTCTCTCATTGATGTTTCTAAATCTGTTTCCCTCTCTCTTCCTCTCTGTAAAAAAAAATCAATAAAATATATTTTTTTAAAAATAGTAGTCCTATCTCACTACTGGTACCAATTTCTGTTATTGCTCTGCTCAGATTACAAATAAAAAGCATGCCCAGGTAAACAAACTTAAAGGAAAAAAGATTTAAAGCCGATTCACTAATGGCACTAGTACTTTAACATTTTCTCTGTTTATGCCATGGATTTATTTTTTAAAATATATTTTTATTGATTTCAGAGAGAAAGAGAGAGGAGGAGAGATAGAAACATCAATGATGAGAGAGTACCAATGATCAGCTATCTCCCACATGCCCCTACTGATTGAGCCTGCAACCTGGGCATATGCCCTGACCAGGAATTGAACCATGACCTCCTAATTCACAGGTCCACACTCAACCACTGAGCAACACTGGCCAGGCTACCAGGGCTTTTTAACTCCAAATAATCCAAGCTGGAAGCTGGCTGGGTCTTTTCATCACCACCCTGACGTTATGGCCACGGCTGAGTCCACACCAGGACAAAATGCAAACGCTCCTATTCCACGCAGACCAAGTTGCGATGGGCTACTTTCCTCTGACAAAGGCAACTTCATAGGCCCATCCTTACTTAGTACAGATACCTTCCAAATGATTACGAGGATAAAACAGTCTGTGGCCTGAAGTAGCAGCCAGAACATACACATTGCATGTTCTTTAGCAATGGGCATTATAGGGTTAGCGAAAACTGGGAATGCCATCTATCCCTATTCTGCTAAAGGAAGATGGCAAAGCTTAAAAGGTTTCGTTCTTGTAACACTGCCTTTCCCTTAGCATATTATTTCTCTAACTAAAGCAAGTAAACAATCTGATTTTTACTTTTCCTGTTTGCACATTTTTTAAAAATCAGAACTACCAGTATAAGAAAGGAAGCTTAGAGTTATTGATAGAGCCCTAGTTGGTTTGGCTCAGTGTCAGCCTGCAGACTGGTGGGTCCTGGGTTTGATTCCAGTCAAGGAAATTTTTTTTAAAATATATTTCTTGAGAGATAATGTTTAAAATTTTCAAAACTTAAGGAATTGGTTATAGTTACTCAAATCATTATTTTTTTTAAAAGTATATTTTTTATTGATTTTTTTACAGAGAGGAAGGGAGAGAGAGATAGAGAGCTAGAAACGTCGATGAGAGAGAAACATCAACCAGCTGCCTCTTGCACACCCCCTACTGGGGATGTGCCCGCAACCAAGGTACATACCCTTGACCGGAATCGAACCCGAGACCTTTCAGTCCTCAGACCGACGCTCTACCACTGAGCCAAACCGGTTTCGGCTTAAATCATTATTTTTTAAACTCAGTTTAATAAAATATAATTGTTCCTTATATTTAGTGTTTGTGAGAATTTTTAGACTGACCAAGACACCTTGCATTAGAGCATCTGCAATGACTAAAGAACCAGTTCCCCATTAGTGATTTAGGACTTCATGGTTTCCTAATGACTACCATTCTTTTCCTTTGAGATTTAATGAACATATAACACAAATACCTTCTGTTACAATTTGTTTTAAAACCTGAGCCCAGTGCTAGCCAGTTTGGCTCAGGACTGAAGTGTCCCAGGTTCTATTCTGATCAAAGGGCATGTACCTTAGTTGCAGGCAAACAATGTGTCTCTCTCACATCAATGTTTCTCTGTCTCTCACCCTCCTTTGAACTCTCTCTCAAAAAAAAAAAAAAAAAATCATTGGAAAAATATCCTCAGGTAAAGATTAAGTAAAACAAAACAAAACAAAAAAAATCTGAGCCAAATTCAGCTCTTGACCATGGTTTTGCCCAAAGAACTTCTAGATAATTCTTCCATAGTCTCTGAGGAAGATCACACCCACAGCCTTAGTGTATCACAACAATGTTCTAACCAAATGAAATACCCGACTAAGGTGATCATGATCTATATTCTTTTTTTTTCTTTTTTTTTTTCAATTTTGAAGAACTCAGTTTATTAACTGACCAGATTACAACTTACAACAGGATGGCAGTTACCCACCCCTGTCTAGGCACTCCACACCAAGGTTCCTTCAAACTCTGCAGGCTCAGGCTACTCTTTGTAGATTTCTCACTGTTGTTCATTTAATTTAAAGAAGGGTTCTGGCCCTAGCTGGTTCGGCTCAGTGGATAGAGCGTTGGCCTAGGACTGAAGGGTCCCAGCTTCGAATCCGGTCAAGGGCACATGCCCGAGTTGCAGGCTCAATCCCCAGTGGAGGGAGCAGCCAATCAATGATTCTTTCTCATCATTGATGTTTCTATTTCTCTCTCCCTCTCCCTTTCTCTCTGAAATCAATAAAAATACAAGTTAAAAAAGAAACTACAAATGTGAATCTGAAATTTAAAGGGAACAGAATCACTCTCCTTTAATACTTTTTCTTTAGTGGTTCATTTGCCAGAAAAGGGGGGTAGGGGAGGATAGTTTCATAAAAAACAATTTTCAAATCTTCAGTTGAAATCAAAATGACTCATTAGAGAGCATACAGGTACAGAATATTTTATAGAGTCTATTGAAAATAAACCAAATATCCATTACATTTGTGTATTTCAAAGTTACAAATTGTAATATACGCGATAGATTCCTGCATCTGCATACGCACATAAACTGGCTATATTTAGTTTAATAATGAGATTGCCTCTGTAAACGGTACAATAAATGTTCAACTATTTTGAATGGCTGCTATTTCTATTTTACGGTCAGTGATATGTCTTCATTGTTTTGAAAATGTAGACAACTGAAATTAAATAGTCAATACCATTTCTCTACAGTAAGCACTAATAGGCATGTTAGACATAAACATAAACACTTATAAAATATCCTAGGCATTCCTTTGAAACAGGTGAATAAAAATAAGTCATAGCTACAAAGTTGTGTAAATAGTGTTTTCTACCGATGATATTTTTGCTTCTAGACTTTTGGATTAATATTTTTAATTTAGAGAATTTATAAATATATAGGAAATGTGTGGCATCCATTAAACAAGATCCAGAGACCAACATAATTCCAGGATTATGTAATTGCAGAAGCTGTAATTTATAATAGATGCCCAATACAAGTGCCAAGCTTATTACAACTATCAAAGGCTTCTTCATTCTAAAACATTTATGCTTAAATAGCGTTTAGCTTTAAAATTTTTATAATCATTTTAATTATTCAACTGCTTACATTTAAGCTTTTTGCCCACAGTGCATTCAGAAAGTTTTGAACTATATTCTTGTCTTTTTGGTATCTTTTTTCCTTTGATCGTGGTCTATAATATTTTTTTTTAAATTTTCATCGATTTTGGAGAGAAACATAGATTTGTTGTTCCACTTATTTCTGCAGTCATTGGTTGATTCTTGCATGTGCTGTGATGGAAGATCACACCCACAGCCTTAGTGTATCACAACAATGTTCTAACCAAATGAAATACCCGACTAAGGTGATCATGATCTATATTCTTTTTTTTTTTCAATTTTGAAGAACTCAGTTTATTAACTGACCAGATTACAAAAATAACCATGGTAGATACCTTAGTTCATCCTTCTAATAAGCCTGTTGATCTGGTCTTACCTGTTGCCAGCATCTCCACCTTCTACGAAATGGGTGGTCATCTTCTTCATGCCATCCCAAGGAGAGGATAGCTTGAAGGGCCACAGGAAGTTGTTCACTTCTTTGAAGTGCTTTCCAACAGTGTAGATCTCATGGATCAGGTCTTCCATGCAGATGATGCCATATTTACCAAGAGATCGAGCAATCAATGCGTTATCTGTCAGGGCAATTCATTTTTTTTGTTGATTTTGCCATAACCACGCTTGTAGATCAATTCATTCACCGACTTCAGATTTGGGTACCCCCAAGCAATGTAAGGCTCCACAATCCTCAGCATGTTGATGGAGGCCTTGTTGAGCTTGACAAAGGTGCCATTGAAGATCTGGCGAAGGCAGAGAAGCTGCATTGATACCTCTGATCCTGATGACAAATGCCATTTTGGGTTCGGCAGGTACGTAGAAGTTGCCAGCTTTTCTTGCCATCCTAGCCATGCGAATCTCCGTCCTGTACATCTGCCTGTACTCCTTGTGATAGTGCTTCGCTTTCTCATAGATGAGCTTCCTTCTTGCCTTTCGAAGCATCTTTTGGGCAAACTTCTTTCTCAGGCGCTTGATCTTCAGCTCTGCGAAATTCCTTCGCTTTTTCTTGAGGGTTTCTGGCACGGCAGGAACCTTCTTCTTCTTCTCTTCTGCACCCTCCATGGTTCCAGCCAGAAAAAGAGCTCATGGTCTATATTCTTGATACCTGGAGAATCCAAACATTCTGGGATACACATGTTATCAAAGTATTTTAGAATAGGTATATTATTTGGAGCTAAAATAAAAGAGCATTTCAAGGTTAATAAAGAATATCGGCCATCAAATGGGTGGCACCATGCCCAAAGCTATTTAGTTGAGACCCACGGAATTTGATGCCAAGGATCACATGAAAGGTCAGAGAAAGTAGAGGGTAACCTAGGAGTCTGACAATCACTCATGAAAATCAACTCATCTGTGGGGAAGCACAGGACTTGGATGGAAGGTCTGTTAAGGAAGATTCTCCAAAAGGTCAGGGGCCTCTGAGAGTACCTTGCTGAAGGCAGCAGCCCCTACCTTGACTTTTCCAATTAAGTCTGATCCCCCAGGTGTTTTGCTAGAATATCTATGTTTAGTCTTTAAAGACCTGACCTTGTCGAAGCATATACTTTCTCAAGGATTGTTACCCTGCTGATTGTATCTAAAGGTTAATTTTAGTTCAAGCAGTTGTGAGAATAAAAGCCTAAGAAGGCAGGCAAACAGGACTGCTTTTTACTTCTAAAGTAAAATGGTCCCTTAGCCCTCTCTTTCACAGAAACATGTCAGAGGCAATCTGTTCATCCGTCGCTCAGGGTCTGCCAGTCAGCCCTGGCACTCATCCATGCTAATATAAAAAATGTGAGTGGATAACTTATTAAGACTGTGAAAAACAAAAAAGACTTTGCACATTCTCTGTTTAATTTTAAATAGCCTTAACATAAAACTTATTCAACTTGCGTTCTTAATCCACTGGACTTAAAGAACAGTAATAGAAGAAATTTTGTAATGGGTCGATCCAGCATGTCTTCATTCAGCCTTACGGAAGGACCCAGAATACATCTATCAAAGGCTAGTCCTTCCATCCCTATTCTGGGTTCCACTTACTTCTGAACCTCATTCTATATTAAATGTTTGTTACCTTATCTCTCACCTGGATCCATTGACTAACATTTAAACATTTCTGTCTCCCCCATCTTAAAACCCCAACCCATAGATTCACATCAACGTCCTTGCCCACAATCCTAATATTTTCCAATGTCCCCTAGCTCAGTGTCCAACAAGCCTTCAGTGCAGCTGCTAAGAATCCTGGGAGTCTCCCCTCAACAAATCACCAAGTTCTTCTCCCATACTGCCTAAAAAACCATCTCCGACATGTTACCTCTCTCCATGCCCACTACTACTTACCCAAGTCCAAGACAGCATGCCCCTGTATTACAAGTATGGTTAAGAGCCTAACACATAACCTGGTATCCTCAGATTCACATTCTTCCTCTCACGTCCATTCTTCAGATTGTAGCCTACATAACAACACTTTAGGCAAATTATTAAACCTATGCTTCAATTTTTATACGTGAAGTTCATTTTTTATGGATTGTTGTAAAAATGAATACTAATTAGCAGCTGCGAAGCCTAACAAATAGTAGCGATCATCAGTTTATTAATGTACAGATACTTAATAGCGAGGAAATAGAAAGGAAATACTATTCAGGGACTAAATCAAAGGAGTCTTATCTGGCCTCCACCAACTTTTTAGTCTTCTCTTAGACTCAACACACCAGGCTCACTCATTCATGAGCTTTCACAGGGCTATTATTTCCTTTGCTTGGACTATTCTCCTTGCCACACGTGGCCGACTTTGCTGTAAAAAAGTTTTTATTTTGATGTAGTCCCATTTGTTTATTTTCTCTTTAGCTTCCATTGCCCTAGGGGAAGTATCAGTGAAGAAGTTCTTTTGGCATATGTCTGAGATTTTGCTGCCTGTGGATGCCTCTAGAATTTTTATGGTTTCCCATCTTATGTTTAAGTCCTGTATCCATTTTGAGTTTATTTCTGTGTATGGTGTAAGTTGGTGATCCAGTTTCATTCTTTTGCATGTATCTGTCCAATTTTCCCAACACCATTTATTGAAGAGACTGTCTTGACTCCATTGTATATTCATGCCTCCTTTGTCAAATATTAACTGAGCATAGTGATTTGGGTTGCTATCTGGGTTCTCAATTCTATTCCATTGACCTATATGTCTGTTCTTGTGCCAGCAATACCTTCATTTTTTAAATTCCTAACTTTCCTAATATAAAATTTCTATGTCTAGCATAACTTTTGTGCAGGTGACAAAACATCTGTCTAGTGTAATTTGCTGCTATATCACTAAATCATATACCGAAGGAAGGAGGCTGCTCTGCTTTCCCATCCTGGAGGCCTGATACACAAAATTAGTACAAGAGTAGGCCCTTGCAGCACCAGCTTTGTCCAGACGGTCATGTTCGGTCGATTTGCATATTACGCTTTTATTATTATAAATAGCTCAGTGACCAGGATCTCAATTTAGAATATATTTTTCGTTAAGTGATTAACATATACTAGTTTACTCTTCTACTACCTAATCACAGGGTGAGAAAAGATTCCCAAAGATTGTCATCTCCAAGAATTTTGCTACAACCACTTCCACAAAAAGATTATAGTCCTTATATCAAGCAATATAAATATCTTCACCCAGAAGTGTCTTTATACGTTCTTTATCACTCTTATGTTAATTATTTTACTGAATCTATTTAAACTAATCTCCTCATTTTAGTAGGACCAGAAACACTTGGTTTTGTTCCCATTTGGTTAATCTTGCTTTACTTCCATAAGCATCGTGTGACTCTTAATTTTTTAAAAACAGACCTTATATTGCATGGGAGAAGTTGATCCATTAAAAAAAAAATCAAAACTAAAAGTATAAATGTCCACGTAAATAAAGCTTGTTTTACAAAGCTTTTCTTTTACATATAACTTGTCTTAAAGCAGGATTTTTTTCTCTGAATTTCTGCCTTGAAGTAATGATTCCCTAATATACACTGAGTAGCCAAATTATTATTATCTCTGAATGCATAATAATCTGTCCACTCAATGTATATCCTATATAATAAAAGGCTAATATGCAAATTGTCCTCTCCACCAGGAGTTTGATCAGTAGGCAGGCCAGCCAACTCCCCATGTTCCTTCCCCCTGGCCAGTCTGGCCAGACCCCACTTATGCACAAATTTATGCACAAGGCCTCTAATACACACACACACACACACACACACACACGAGTGGCCAGATTATTATGCGTTCAGAGATAATAATCTGGCCATTCAGTGTATATATTATTCTATCACAATTCTATAAAAATCAGGATATTATAAGTTAATCTTAACTTCATCCAATAGAACAAGTATTATAACTCTGCCACTTTAAAAAACAAAAACCAAATGACAAAATAAATGAAAAAGCAATAAATTGAATAAGTCAGAAACATGCCCAGAAAAAATACTAAAATCTGACATTTTCCTCATGTGCCTGTTTTAATAATTAGTACCTTCTACTTATTTTTAATAATTAAAAACAAATTCTTCATTCATTCTCCTAAAAATATACCAGGCACAGTTACAGATTCTCTCGGTTCTCAAAGAGCTAAGAAGGGGAGACACCAGAAAATATGAATTCAATCTAATGTGATAAATGCTCTGATGAATATATGTAAAGAGGCTACTGATCCAAAGCCAGGGGGAGGCACGTGTGGTGCTGGGAAGATGAATGGAAGATGCATGGGGATTAGTTGGGTAATGCACCTGCAGGGAGCTAGGAGAGGGTGCCAAGCAGTGTGGATACAAACAGGCTTAAGAGTAATCAACAATGCTTATACCACAAAAATGCAATATCCATTCAATTTTAATTATTACATTTTATTATTTTACAATATATTTCAAAAAATGCTGTTACAGTTGCCTTAACTGCTCTATAAGACCTGGAAACAAAAGAACACTTAGAATTAGAACACAGGAACACCAAGCTATAATAACCACTTGTACTGAACCATTGCTACCAAAGGGATGTAGTTTTTTAAAGAAGCGGATGTGTGGCAATGCAAAATAAAACACAAGCTTGTTAAAACAGAACAGTAAACTTTGTTTTAATGGCTATTGAAAGGAGGTGGGTTTTTTTCCAACACGTCTGGTTCTGGCAGCAAGTTGTATTATGCATTTAAAGCAATGCATGCCCTGAAAGCTTATATTTTCATTTGTGCGTGTCACCTGACTCAGAGCCCAGACATCTGAAAACTATCTTTCTCAGCACCCTCAATACCCCTCCCTCCAGAAGGTCACAATGTTCAAGATTCTTGTTGGTGAATCATTTTACAATAATTTTTCTCTAGTAACACTGGATGCTTTTAATTTTCTCTAAAAGAGAAGCAATGAAAATGCAAGAAACCCCTCCAGGGTCCAATTTTCACTTCACATTCTCCACGCAATAAAATAGCAGCTCTACATGTAGATGAAGAATTTCATTTTCTCCCTATTAGTTTTTAATCGTATTGGCATTAAAATTTATCTGGATTTAGTTAGATTTCCAAAAGGAAAATTTTAGTTGCCAAATATTTCAGAAATGCAATAAAAGCATTGCATATACGTATTAGCTCTTATCTAGAAAAAATATATATGTATACATATTTATATTTATTTTTCTTACCTTCACTGAAGTTCTTTTTTTCGGGCTGGACATGAGAAACAAAATCAAGTGGACCAATGCTGGCTTTATTTCTTTATAAGCAATAATTTTGAGTATTTTTTTTCATTCAATACAACTGCAAGTTCATAATAAATTCACAAAAGGCAATACAAGGAAATACCTACTGAATAGGCACCTACCAAGCAACTCACATGTTACGGTTAGACTCTACCAAATGGCACTGTGGCATTATAGGCATCCAATTTTTGTTTTCTTTTTCAAGTTGTCAGTTCTTTTTCTATTTTTTTTTTTTTAAGCAGGAAATAGTGTGTAATCACAAAATAAGGCCTAGAGACCATTGACAGTTGCTCCCAATATTATGGTGGATGTTACTCTCAAGAGCTGATATAAACCAAACAGAACAGCAGTCAAACTACATTTGGTCACATCCAGTC